CCACCAGCCACTCCTTGGAAGGAAGGTTGGGCAATCTATTTCTGTAGTGATACTGCCTCGGAAACCCAAGGAGGGGTTGCTATGAGTCAGGTCTGACTTGATGGCACGTAACAATAACAACAATGACAAATATAGGTATCAGCAGAGGCAGTATGGGTGTTTTTTACATGTTTAGTCATAGAAGCTGAGGCTATCACTATTGCAAATTTGAGGTCTGTGACCCTACATGGTGTGAAAGCACTGGTCTCTTTAGGCATTATCCACTGATGCCACCATCTTCCCTTTGAAACTTCTATCAGATGCTGTTTGGATGTGCCCCAATGGGTGAGAAAGAGCAGCTATGGATGGAAGATCTACCAGTGAAATAGGGAAGCCAACCAGCTTAGTCAGGGGTTGAGGACAAGACTTGCCTGAAATCAATCAGTGGGACAAGGTGTGTGTGAAGAAGGCATCTGGCAAAGGGCTTAGCACACAGGAGATGCTCTGTAAATATTCGTTACCTGCTTCCCTCCTTTCATACTCACCCCATCCCTACATTATGCTGGGCAATTAGATCACTCACTTGAAAGGAGAAAGACTGGTTACTATTCATTTGGAAAAATTAAACTCAGCTCTAGGTATACTGATGGAAAACCTTAAGAACCATTTTCCATCAAAGTGTTCAGTGACAACTTAAGTGAAGCCAGGGACATTGGTAGACATCCCTTTAGAGAACTGTATGAAAGTCTGATAGAAACTTCTGAAGGAAGATGGTGGTATCCCTGGGCTAATGGCTAAAGAGACCAGCATTCTTAGTGGTCATCATAAATAATTAGATTTCTGTAAAGAGCCATGTATGTAAGAAATGGTTGTGAAGAATAACTGTAGCCAACTTGACCTGCAATCAGTTCTCACTGAGTAGCAAGCACAGTGCTTAAAACGAGTGAATGAATTAATGAATAAGCAGGGTATGGATTGTCTGATTCACCACAGGCCTCACCTGCCTTTGTCTTGGTGCATTTACAAGATGTTCCTGAAGAAATGAAAATCATCTGCAGTCCCTGCTGCAATGAAAAGACCTTGAGGAGGCTGGCGTGCACTCCCATCCAGTAACTTTCCTCAGCTAGAATGAAGTTATTGTAAAATAGCAGGTCATTTTCTACACTAAGATTCAGTTGTTCTAAATTCTGTCCCATAAGAGAGAATTATATACATTCATGTTATGGTCATAAACCAGGGCAATACTTTAAAACAAAGAAATGTATGTGTTAAGCTGCCTTGGCAGAGAACTTCCATCAAATGAATGTGTTAAATAACCATGACATGGACCCCTGGCCAGATAACACATGTCCGGAGTGTAAGATTTGCCCATCTTTTCCATCAGCACACTCTCCACTTGGTGGAACACCTGCTGTGCCCTTTCCCACTTGGGTCACTAGTCTGTGATGTGTTTCAGGTTCCTCGGGGTCCCCTGGCCTGAATGGCTTGCATGGTTTAAAGGGCCAGAAAGGAACCAAAGGTGCTTCAGGTAAGATAAAACCTGGAAGTATTCCTGGAAGACTGACCTTCTTCCAGTGTAACTGAGATAACATTGTCCCCTCCTAATATTTCTTCACTTTGTGAAATGTGATGAGCTTTTCTGAGAAACTGGCTTAGGTTAGGGACACAGAATTGCAACTGTTTTTGGTGCTAAAGATACATAAGGAGAATATTTTAAGAGAGACCTATTTAAAAAGGAATGGTTGGTTAACAGTGCCTTTTGTTGATATTCCTTGGGACTCTCTCTCTACCAAAAATACTCACTGAATAATTGTTTAAGTGGAGCCAGATTTCAAAATGTCATGAATAATAAATAAATAGCTGTGAGGATTTGTGTGTGTGTGTGTTGTTTTAAATGTAATAATGCCAAGTACAACCATGTGGGTCTAATTAGTGCTTTTAGCTAAAACACATTCCCTGACCAATTGCTGTTATTTTTGATATCACAAATAGTTCAGTCTTCAACAATTTTTCCATGACTTTAATTCAATGTATATTTGCTGCATCACTTTTTCATAATCAGACAGGGTAGCTGGAACTAGATTTGTAAATCTGAGTGACTCTGGGGAAAAGGTTGGATTGTGTTGGTAAGTTGTAAGCTATTGTTGAAGTGATATGAAATCTTTATACAGTTTGGAAGATGAAGAAATAATTTAGGCCACATAGGGTTCTTGTAGTGGCTCTCCCTAATGGTCTGATAAAACATTTGCCCTCTAAGAAGTAGTGACGTCATCCCTTCTTCACGTGAAACTCCACAATAGTCCTAATAATATGCCAGTTTCTACCTCAAATTTCAGAGCAATTTATTCATAAACTTATTGTTTATGTTACGTATTGCTGTATCTCTCTCTCTTTCATTATATCCATTGTAGAGATTGGAAGGTTGGTATTCTCACTAAGTTGTTGAGAAATAATCATAAAGCAACACTGTGGTTGACCAGTTGACCATTATGATGAGGCATAAGATAAGAATGATGACTCAAGAATACTGCACAGCCATACAGGCCACTGTTGCAGTCAGCAGTTGATGTCAGCAGAGCTAGCTGCTTACTCGTCACACTCCTGTTGGGAAGAAGTTATCTTCAAGGCTCAGTAAGGATAAAGAGAAGATTCATTAATGCTGTTTTCCCTATTAAGGTTTGCATGAAATGGGCCCACCAGGTCCAGTGGGAATGCCTGGGCTAAAAGGGGAGATAGGAGACCCTGGGAGTCCAGGAATTTCTCCTCCAGGCTTTTTTGGAGACAAAGGTCCTCCAGGTCCTCCAGGTAAGAGTCATCATGCTTTGCCCATCTCTTAATAATGAAATTAAAAGCTTCTGAATGTCATGAGACTTAACATCTGAACATGTCCCTCCTCAGGGAGACCAGGACCACCTGGTCCAGTGGGTGGCCCAGGAAGAGCTCCTATTGGTGACATTCCTGACCAGGGTCCACTTGGAGATCAGGGGCCTCCTGGTCCCGATGGCCCAACAGGTATGAGAAAATCATAGCAAAGGATGGCAGTGCCCCCTTTGTTAGATGTGCCAGCTCCGAGGGATGCAGGGCTGGAAAAGGGCAGAGGAGAAGCCCCTCAGCAGCCCCCTCGGACTGACAAGTGCACAAGTGAGGCCTGGTTTGTGGTCGGGCTGTGGGCAGTGGTGGGCTGTTGGGACAACATTCAGATGAGAACTCAGGGCCCCTCACTCTTGTATTTCAATTCTATCCAACCCCTCTCTATGGGCACGAGGAATTTCCCATTGCCAACTTGACGCTGACTAAGCTCTGGTAGCATAGGCACTTGACTGCTAACCAGAAAGCTGATGGTTCAAACCCACCAGCCACTCCTCAGAAGGAAGATGGGGCAATCTACTTCTATAGTGATACTGCCTCAGAAACCCAAGGAGGGGTCGCTATGAGTCGGGTCTGACTCGATGGCAAACAACAACAACATGAAGACCCAGAATTGGCCAGAAGGAGGGAATCCCATCCTACTTATTGACTCTAGCACCTGCCATGTTAGCCACTGCTGCTGGCCCAGAGCAAAGACCAGACCTGTTGTAGGTGACAGTTAGAAAGCAGAGTCTTTCCTGGGCGGTGAGAAGCTCGTCTCGTTCCTCTCATCACCTCACAGAGATGAACTCTTTCAGAGGAATGTGTTGGAAGTAATCACTAAGCTAATAAAGTAGAGTTGGACTAGAGCTGGTCTGGGAGTTGGAAGAAGATTATGGCCTAGTGCAATGTCTTACTAAACACAGACAGTCACATTCATACCAGCTCATCACTGAATTTGCTATACACAAACCCACTGTCCTTCAATCTTTAGACCTTTAGTAAGGGTGGGATAGGCGTAGTGCCTAAGGCATTTGATTGCTAACCAGAAGGCTAGTGATTCAAACCCACCAGCCACTCCTCGGAAGGAAGATGGGGCAATCTCCTTCCATAGTTGATACCACCTCAGAAACCCAAGAAGAGGTCACTATGAGTCAGATCTGACTTGACAGCAATGAGTTTTGTTTTGTTTTTCTTTGATATTTTACTGAGAAAAATAAAAGCACTCAGGACGTGCTAAGTACACGTGCTAAATAGGAATAGAATTTGGGTTTATTTCATTCCCACATATAGATACTTCCTTTCAAATTTGATTATAATTTTAGTAGAGTAAACAGTCCTTTCCCATCAGCTATTTTTTCTCAAAAGTCTTTCCCCACCTTTGCTGTCCCCCTTCTTTCTTTGTCACCTCCCATCCTCTGTCACGTCCCGTCCTCTGTCACCTCCCGTCCTCTCTCATCTAGCACACACACACACACACACACACACACACGTGTGTATATAAATATATATTTATACACATATATCTATTTTGTATTAAAAAAGTGGGTGCAAATGCAAATAAAAATCATGAACTAATATACAGGTGTCCCCTGGTTTTCAAAAGTCCTCTTTATGCCACTTTGTTTTTGCGAGAGACCTACATTAGTATCTCTTTTTGCTAACTGAAAGAAATCCAAACAGGATTTTCACTTTTACAAAAAAAAAAAAAAAAAAAGGCAAACAGCAGGAATAGCATTCAGCACTTGTTTTGCAGCAAGCCACTGAAGAGGCAGTGGCCACCCCAAGCAGTGAGAGGGGCATTGCCAAGCTCCTTCCCTGGCAGCTACACTTAGCATCTCAGCATCTTATCATATCATTGCTGCTTTTCCTAGATGTTAGTGTTATTGTTAGATTTATGTGTTATTTGGTACGATTTGGTAGGCTATTTTTTTGAGTCTGGGAATGCACAAAAATGTTTCCCATATAAGTTAATGGTAATTGCTTCTTTGCTTTATACCATTTCTGTTTACTAAAGGTTTCATAGGAATGGTTCACTTTCGGATATCAGGAAAACCTGTATCCCCCAGAGGCATGTCTGTGAAGGGAAGGAAGCCTCTGCTTAGGTCCATTTTGTCCAGCAGTTGCTAACCCACTAGCCACACCATTTCTCATTTTGGGCTACGTGAAACATACTGTTTCACATCTGCTGCTATTAACTGATTCTTCAGATTCTCACCATCTCTTGCTCATAAACCACTAAATGACTCTATGTAAGCAGCTCACTGGCAAGTCTGAACTTGTCTTTGATTGAAAGAATCTTCTTGCCTTCTCCCTGTGCCAGGTGTACCAGGGCCTCCAGGCAGCCCTGGGAGGGTTGACCTCCTAAGAGGTGATCCCGGTGACTGTGGCCTGCCAGGGCCACCAGGAGCCCCGGGCCCACCAGGCCCTCCAGGACATAGAGGTTTCCCAGGATGTGATGGAAATGTCGGCCAGAAAGGTAGGACTATGAGTTGTTCCTCAAAGAGTATATGAGGACTTTCCTTATTAAGCCCTGGAGGCTCTGGGTTACTGCACCGTGAAGTTATTCTGATTTCGTGTAGAAACAGTTACATTTCCAAAGTGTCCTGACTCTCGCAAAGAGCCCTCAATTTTGGGAAAAAGTTGGACAAATGAAGGGAGGAAACACAAGTTCATTGTTAGATGCTAGGAACCAAAGTAGAACAACAGAAATATAAAAGAAGCTACATGTGTAATTTAAATTTTCACTAAACACGTTTTCAAAAAGTGAAAAGAAACAAGTAAAACTACCTTTCATACTTAATTTATTTAACATAATATATTTTAAGTACTATTTTAACATATAATCAATATAAAAAATGTCAGTGAGAAGGCTGCTTGTCCAAACCTAGCTCCTGTCTCAGATAAGAAACTCTTTCTTCCAGCGTTTAAAATCAGTCCACATTTCACACTCACAGCACAGCCCAGTTGGGACTGGCGCCATATTGTAACTGGTCAGCAGCCACTCCTGTCTAGTGCCTTCTACACTGCACAACCTAGTTCTAAACTATTGATCTTTGCTTTTTTATAGTCATAAGAGGGTCCTCATTACTGATTTTACCTACTATTTAAGGCTAAGATTTTTTTTTAACTTAATTCTTACCTAACTGCTAATTGATGGGGACATTAGTTTTTGGTCATCAGAATTTCAGAGAATTATTGGGATCATAAAACTTTGTGTGTATTTGTGAAAGGGCCAATAGTAACTATCCAGTTCAACTCTTATTTTGTAAATAAGAATGCTGGGTTTCAGAGAAGTGACTGTTAAAGTTTGCAGAAGCCCTGTAACTAGTGCGTTGTCTGACTTCAGAGCCAAATGTGAAATAAAGCCAAAGATCAGGGCAGAGGGAGGTAAAAATCTCTTTGACTACAATGCAAATGGCATCCCTGGAATTGTGCAGTGCACAAGCTACACAACAGTACACAGCAGCCCTCTTCACCTTTATTAGCAATAAAAATCGATTCTAAAGAACGTGGCTTGTGTCAGCAGGTGGATGGGCTTCCTATTAATTGAATCCTAGAAGTAGACTAGCTAAAATTCTAGTCAACAAGAGGAAGAATGAAGGGGCTCATTGTCCAACCTCATTCCTCTCTCAGAAAAGGCACCCTCCTTCCCAGATGTTACTCTAGAGACCCCTACACCTGGCCATCAACCTCAGGTATATGAACATAGCATGCCATGTAAATAACAGTCATCTACCCAGAGACAGCCAGAGAGTTAGAAATACTGATGGACCTACTAGTCATGCTTCTTAACTCCTAGGCCAGCGGGTGTAAGGGCCAAATGGTGCTTTCCTGAGGAAGTGATGAAGGTGTTTCCTCAGTTTACCTTTTGGGATTTACCAGTGGGAGAATATTTACCTATTTCACAAGCCGTTATTAGGCACCTGTAGAATATAGTGCTGTTGTTCCTAGTTGCCACTGAATCCGTTGCAACTCATGCTGACCCCGTGTGTGCAGAGTTGAACTGCAACGTAGAGTTTTCAAGGCTGTGACCTTTCAGAAGCAGGTGGCCAGGCCTATTCTCCAAGGCACCTCTGGGTAGAGTCTAACTCTCAACTTTTCAGCTCGTGGTCAAGTGCTTAACCGTTTGCACCACTCAGGGGCTCAGGGATATGGGAGTGAACAGATTTACACAGAGGTCCCTCTCTAATTAGCATGTAGTTCATGTGAGAAGATAGATACATGAAAGGATACATCGATACAAACTGGGCTCTTTGCTCTAAGTGAAGGGACTTGCTTCTGTGTGAGCTTATCAAAAAGCACCAGGACTTCTGTTGGGACTTCAGGGAGGGCTTCCCAGAGGAGGTAAGGCTCGACTTGAACTCTATGAGAGGTACATACTGGAAGGGGGAGAAGAGAAGGAACAGCGTTTGCAAGCAACTGAGTGGCTGGTAAGGCTAAAACCAAGACTGTGGAAGAGAGTGGTATACACTCAGGGCTTGAAGGGGCACTTTGTCCCCAGATAATTGAAGCGCCTGCCCCATTTCCCCTTCAGTTCCAGTTCCAGTTCCTCAAATGTTTCCAGAAAGTTCAGGATTACAAGGCTTTTCGTTCTACTTTAGTTCTGTCTTAGCCGAGAATCCATTTTCCTTAGTCTCCCCCACACCTTTCTCTCCCCGCCAAAGGTGTTTTTTCCTTTTTGTTGTGATTTGGGTGAAAGTTTGTAGAGCAATTCAGTTTTCCGTCTAACAATTCCTACACATTTCGTTTCCTGTCATTGATTGCAGTCCCCTCAATGGGACATCCCTCCTCCCCTTCCTCTGTTTCCCATTCCCATTCCTCCTTCTTATCCTTCCTGCCTTCTGAGCTTTGCCCTTGGGGAAATGCTGCGTTTTGATCCCAAAAGGTTGATTGTTCTAAGAGTACCTAATTCCATAGTGCTATCTACTTCCCTAGTGATACTGCCTCAGCAACCCAAGGAGGGGTCGCTATGAGTTGGGTCCGACTCAATAGTACATAACAACAATAACATATTGTTCACCTTTTAGACCTATGTATTGTTTGGCTGACATTTTCCTTAGTCTTCTTCCTGATCATTGTGTTTCCTTCAGACAGAGGCAGCTCTCACAGCTGTATGAAAGCCAAACCAGTGAAACTCCTCCATCGCGCCACCAGTCTTATAGAAACAAGGGCAAGACTAATCTAGACTCTGAGGCTGACTTTGCCCTACAGTTTTGTTGGGCTGTATCTCTGAAATCAGTATATAAAATAGGTCATTGTCTTTATATTACTTCATTCCAGTGTCCTTATTTTCACATGTTTCTTCTAGGACCAATGGGATTCCCAGGGCCACAGGGTCCCCATGGATTTCCTGGGCTTCCTGGAGAAAAGGGTTTACCTGGCTTTCCAGGTATACAAGGGCCCCCTGGTCCTCCAGGTAAGCTCCTTACTTGATTACCTCACCCAAGTGTCCTGTCCACAGCAACCTGTCCACAGCACTATGCGTAATCAATTACTATAATGGTCATCTCTTAAAAAGTATTAATAATGCCGTAATTACCAGCACATTAATGAGTTTACTTTTGGATATAAGGAGTATATTTATGTCAAAGTGCCCTACAAAGTGTCATGCTTGGTAAAATGATATTTATCATCAGCATGAGTAGATATTGAAAATTAGGAGTTCATTTTACCCATGGTATTTCTAAGGTAAATAAATACATATTCCCTCAACCAAGAGGCAAAGAATGACTTGATTATGTTAGGATTGTATATTAGATTCAGGTCCCTGAATTCCCATTGATTTTTCTATACGTGTTAAGTTTTTCTGTAAAGTATATTAGTTCCTGTGAAGGTCAAAGGCTACTCAATTTAAACTCCACTGATAATACTTTTTCATCATAGGGTCAAAATAAGCCAAGGTGGGGTTGGGAAGAGGAAGGGCAAACAGAAATGTACGTTTGAGATTGGCAGAAGTAACAGTCTTTCCAGATCCTAAATCAATGTTATGGTAATGTATTCAGTTCAGAATATTTGCAGTCTCCTCCATTAGCACCCTAGTGAAAGAACAGATAGACTGCAGTGTTCCCTGATGGGTCATAGGACCACAGTACGATCACATCACAGGCTCAGACTGGGATCCGTTCTGTATGTCCTTGCTGTCCATGATCTATACAACTTGCCAAATTAATATGGAATTCTTATGGACATTATATTAGGGCATATTTGCTGCAAGAAATCAGCTAAATTTTATACTGCTCAAGAGGACTTCCTTCCAAATCCATCTAGCTATGAAAGTGTCTTACTAAATCATAACTCCTGCTATCAGTAGCACTGATGTGGACTTTTATGTAAATAAGATGCTGTCATTCAGCTTGTCATTGATGCTGTCCTACATAATATGCTCTCCAACAATCTACTTCACTTTTGTCCTAATTCACAAATTTAAAATCTCTTTCCATATATGAAAATCATCGCTGGCCTGGTTTTTGGCTTTGGATCGCTCCAGGTTCCAGGGGTAAGCATTGCTATACAGCTGATACTTTCCCCTAATATGGTTTCCGGTCATTTCCTTCTTTGCCTTTCCACTGTATTTTGTGAGTTAAACATGGTTACATATTGTAGAATTGGGTTTCTGTTATTATTTTAGGTGTCCACACCTTTGCTTCCTAGTTACAGATGAAGTAACCTCGCATTAGAGAGTCTAGATGAGAGCCCCATTATAGGTTGTAGAGGTGGTAGAGACTCATCTCCCATAACTACAGCTCAGGCACAAAATATGAGTACTTTCTCTGTCAAATGCTATAGAACATAGCAGTGTGAGTTCCTTGTATAAATTCTACAATACAAATGCAAGAAGATCCCTGAAATAAGTAGCATCAATATTAAAAAATGGGCCCGGAACACCCAAGAAGGGGCTGTGATCACACCACTGTTTAGTCTGCTTTCAAGAAACAGGTTTCTTGGTTTTCAGAAGAAAATGGCATTATTCTTTTCCACTCAGTGTTTGCTGAATCCTCTATGATGCGTTGTTATTTTGTATCCAGCATTTTCAAAGGGAATAGAAATAGTTTTTCAGAAGAAAAATGGTGCTTCCTGGCATTTGTTCTTACCAGGCATGCTATTGAGCCTCATGACCACCTCCCTGAAGCAGACCCCAGATATAGCTTCTAGTGCCTAAGGTATTTGACTGCTAACCAGAAGGCTGGCGGTTCAAACCCACCAGCCTCTCCTCAGAAGGAAGGTTGGGCGATCTACTTCCATAGTGATACTGCCTCAGAAACCCAGTGAGGGGTCGCTATGAGTTGGATCTGACTTGATGGCAGTATGTTTGGTAGAGCTCATAGAAGCAAGATCCCACCCCTTTCTTTCAGCATCTGGTTTAGTGAAAAGTAAAGAAAAGCAAAATCAGAATTTTAAAAATTGTTTTATTTTAATGTTTGCATTTAAATACTGAATAGCATATTTAATGGGAGCTCTGGTAGCATAGTGCCTAAAGCGCTTGACTGCTAACCAGAAGGCTGGTGGTTCAAACCCACCAGCCACTCCTTGGAAGGAAGGTTGGGCAGTCCTACTTCCGTAGTGATACTGCCTCGGAAACCCAAGGAGGGGTCGCTATGAGTCGGGGCTGACTCGATGGCACATAACAACAACAAACAACAACAACAAACCATATTTAATGGTTCTCATCTCCATCCTTTTAGTGTGTCTCTGTGACTATATATATAAACTCATTTGAAGATAATATCAAAGGCCTAAATATAAAGGCCAATTTAATGCATTCCTGGCCTCACCACCTTCCCCACCCCACCACCCTGCCAGTGAAGGCCCAGGTTATTTCAGGGACAATAGGAAATGTTCACATGCAGCTCTTGCACATCAACCAAAAGCCAAATTTTACATTAAACTGTACAAACTGTACAAATGCATATGGGCCTGCATTGCATGTGGTTTCATACCACCTTTTACAAGGGGTTAAATTATAAACAGCTTACAGAGTTCAAGTCCATTTTGCATGGCACGTTAAGTAGTCCATAGACTAAAACTTGGTCATTATGGCCACATTCTTCTAGCATTTTCTTGCTGCTTTATTTTTATTCTTAAAATTATTTTGTACATTTGTATGAATTTTAAGAAAGCCATAACTAATCAAATGATGTGTTTTAAAATACGTTCTATTTCTTAGAATTCATCCCACAGACAGTAAAAATATTTGAGGCGATATGTTCTGGTGGTTAAGGGCATATGTTTGGAGCCAGACCATCCTGGGATTCAATCTGGACTCAGACACGTATTAGCTGTATGACACTGGTTAAGCCACCTGTTTATCTGAGCTTCATTTTTTCTCACGTGTAACATTCTAGTAACAGCACGTAGGCAGGCTTTTTGGAAAGCACTTAGCAGGGGGCCGGATAGGTGATAAAGCCTTTACTAAGTGTGGTTGTTGTGTTCTGAGCTGCCACTGAGTTGACCCAGACTCATGGAGATCCTGGTGTTGCAGAGTAGAAGTGCTCCGTGGGGATGTCTGGGCTGTGATGTTTATGGAAGCAGTTTGCCAGGATTTTCTTCCATGACAGGCGCTCTGGTAGTACAGTGGTTAAAGCACTTGGCTACTAACTGAAAGGTTGGTCATTTGAATCTGCCATCAGATCTGCAGGAGAGAGATGTGGCAGTCTGCTTCCATAAAGGTTACAGCCTTGGAAACCCTATAGCAGTTCTCCTCTGTCCGATAGTGTTACGATGGGTCAAAATCGATCTGATGGTAACAGGTTTTCTTCCATGAAGCCAGAGGATGGATTTGAACTTGTGGAGTGTTTGCAAAGCGACTGCATGGGATTGAAAAACATAATCTTCAAGATGGGAACAGAACTAAGAAGATTTCCAGCCTTTAGAGCAGTGGTTCTGAGTACCTCAGGCTCACCTGGGAACTTGTTAGAAATCCAGATGCTGGGCCCCATCCAAGACCTACTGACTCAGAAACTGTGGATGTGGGGCCCAGGAATCTGCATTCTAACAAGCCAGCCAGATGGTTCTGAAGCATTGACGTTTAAGGACTGCACCTTTTCAGCAGTGCATGTCAACCCTGACTGACACTGGAATCCCCCGGGGAGTTTAAAAAAAATACTAATGCCTGGGACCTACCCCTAGAGATCTCTAATAAGTGGGGATGAGGTCAGGCATCTGTCCTTCTGAAAAGCTCCCCAGCCGATTGTGTGTGTGTGTGTATGTGTGTGCATGTGCACGTGCACGTGCAGCCAAGTTTGAGAGCACTGCCCAGGCCACACCCTATACCAACTAACCCAGCATCTCTGGGGAGGACCCAGGCATCAGTAATTTGTACAATATCCCTGGGAATCTCCAGTGTGCACTCACAGTTGAGAATCCCTGCTTTAGGACCTTTACCCATTGTCATGTGTCGATTCCAACTCATGCCTCTAGCAATCCTGACATTCTATTTGAGTATTTGACACTATGGAAACCCATCTGACTGCCATGCAGAGTAATGACTTAGGGAGACATGAGTGAGTTTCAGAGACCCACCAGTCCCTTCACCCAAGCCACCTGTGGCTGGCACCCCAGTCAAAAGCAGCCCCAAAGTTGGAAATCTTGTGTAGGACACCACATTACTGCTGCCTTAGTCAGCCCCACCACTTCATACTTCTGCTTCTCCTGATAGCTCATTCTTTACCATTCAGGTATTCAACAAATGGTTTCTGAAAACTTACATTGCACCTGCCAATGAACAAGACAAACTTGCCACCTCTGTGGGGCTTACACTGCATGGTGGAACATTCTCCTTAAAATCACAGCATCATGTCCAAAGCCCACTGATAACTTGAAAACACAGAAGGTGTTTATTCAAAAGCATTTGAATTTGTCACACAGAAGTTGTTTATTCAAAAGCATTTGAATTTGTCACACAAACGGTGATTTTGATTTCAGGTGAACCTGGACCACCTGCAGGTGAGGATGACTGCCCCCGAATCCCGGGGCTTCCTGGAGTGCCAGGCCCAAGAGGACCAGAAGGACCCATGGGGATCCCTGGGCCACAGGGTGCCCCAGGAGCAGGTAAGAGTTGCATTCTCGTTGCTTGTTATTTACGTCATCTATTGCTGAAATCAAAGGCTCGGTGTTGTGCTATGTAGTTTTTTTGTAAAGATGAAACAATGAAAATTTCTTTCACCTCATACATTTTTCCTACATTGATTCAAAAGTTTAATGATATACTAAGTTCTACTTTTAGGTCAAACTCCTACTTAAATCGTTTATACTTGGCCAGCTTTTATAAGTGGGGCTTTGGGACTGCTAGCCAGAAGGCTGGCAGTTGGAACCTACCCATAGGCGCCCGACAAGACAGGCCTGGTGATCTGCCTTTGAAAGGTCAAAGCCATGAAAACCCTGTGGAGCAGATCTCTTCTGCACACATGGGGCCACATGAGGCAGAACTGACACCATGGCAACTGACAACAGGAAGAGCCCACCGAGTAGAGGCTCATTGATTAGTAGTCACTAATAGCTGTGGACTTGATTTTGAATTAAAAAACAGTTGGGTTGGGGCTTGGTGGAGCAGAAATGGAGCCTATAAGAAGAGATGCACCCCTGAGAGTAAGGAGAGGGAAAAAGGGAAGGTTGCTATAAATTTTGGCAGTGACCACCTTACACACTTACTCGACCTGAGAATTGTCTGTCATTGCAGGGTATCAGGATCCCTACTGAAGTCTTTACACTAAACCACTCTTTACAAGTGACTTGTGGTGATTTATTGTTTGGGTAGTTTCCAAAGGGATTGTGGAGGCTGTGACTATCATCTAGAGGTTACTAATATCTTCAGACTATCAGCAGGACCCATGACGCTAGACACCTGGGTGCACACTGTTGTCTGAAGAGCAGTGAGGCCCTTCTCAGCCTGCTCCTCCCAGGCCCGGCTCTGACTTTGCCTCATTTGAGTTCAAGGCCAAAGAGATTGGAAGTAGGACTGATTTTTGTGCCACCTGTTTTCCTCGCATTTTGCCAAACCCCAGCAGCTCAGGACCCAAGAGATGGCCCCTCAGCTGGAATCTCTGTGGTTCTTGGACACTGTCCCAAACAGCTCTGGAACCGTCCTCAAATTCATATGGGTGGCTTGTTGTTTTTATTTGCTGCATGGCATCTGTGTTAGGCTGGGTTCTCTAGAGAAGCAAAACCAGTAAAGCTTCTATAGAGAGAGAGAGAGAGAGAAATTTATCTTAGGAAAATCTCTCACACAGTTACAGAGGCTGGCAAGTTCCAGGCTCCTGGATCAGGCATCAAGCTGGAGGCATTTCCTGACTCTCACAGATGCAGGGGCTGACAGGCTCAAGACTGGCAGGCAAGATAATGGCTGTTGACTTCGGGAGAGGACAAATCCAACATCACCAGGCAGAATGGTAGATTGTTCGCTCATGGACAATTGTAGGCAACAAGTCAGGATCCAGATCCACAGAAGGTTCCTAAATTTTCTCAGGAAGTCCATATATATATTGGAAGTATACCCCTAAGAAAACACCCTTTCAACTGATGGCTGCTCATAGCAGATCTCATCATGGAGGTGATTATCTTACATCAGATCTCATCATGGGAATAACTGCATCACAACTGTTTAAACCACTCAGAATCATGGTCCAGCCAAGTTGACACACAACCTCAGCTATCACAGCATCTGTGTTTGTGCACAGGGTTGTGTTTGGGTGTGGGTTGTAGAGACTTCTTTTAACAACCGTGGGCACTGGAAATTAAGTCCATAGTTATTAACTTCTTTTTTCTCAATTGCATGGAAGATTTCTCAGGCAGTCAGTATAACTGGTCTCTCGACTTCATTTGCAAGTGGGCTGCCTTGTTTCATGAGATTTGGAATATTAAGGTCTAGGTCTTCACCTTTTCAGAATCACTTCCAAGTAGACACTCTGGTCTATACTCTTCAGAGGTTCTGCCAATTCAATTCAATTTAATAAACACACCCAGATCCCCACTAAAGCGTGGTACCAGTTGTTATGGGCCACACAAAGATGAATGAGACATGTGCTTTCCCTGTCAGGGTCCCACAAAGATAGAGCCAGAAAAGCATAAGCAACTCTAATAAACGGTCAGGTGTCATTGGTGTTTCAAGGAGTTTCAAGCAACAAGCATTAGGCAAATGGGATGGGCTGAGGGTGATTCCACTGTGAGGAACTGCTGCTAAGACCCCAGCAAGAGGTGGCATTTGAGTGGAGCCTTTAAGGAAGCGTTGGGCTCTGAGGGGCCGGAATTGTCTTCTAGAGGGACAGCGGGGTCACAGGCTGAACAGGTTAGCCTACAACCATGTGGGAACTAAGAGTCCGCCCCATCTTTGCTACTTGTTATGAGTTGAATGGCAGCCCTGGTAGTACAGGGGTTAAGTGTTCAGCTGTTAACCTGAAGGTCACTGGTTTGAACCCATTGGCCACTCTGTGGGAGAAAGATGAGGCAGTCTGCTTCCATAAAGATCACAGCCATGGAAATCCTATGAGGCAGTTCCTCGTTGTATCTTAGGGCCACTGAGAGTTGGAATTGACTCTTCGGCAATGGTTTCTAGGTTGAATTGTTCAAAAAGCTATTCCTGGGGGCTGCTACTATGGTGGACCTCTTTTTCCCACAATGCATTCCTTGGCTCTCTCTCCCTGTCAGTACGTGCTGGCTCCCTAGGCTGTGTGAGCCATAGCATCTAGTTACCGAAGATGACAAGTGTTTGCTAAGGGTCTCCAGACTGAGCTCTGACTTACTTGGTCATCTGTGTTGTGTTGTGTGTTGCTCATTATCGGTCTTTTTCTGGCAGAGATTTTCCAGTAGGGTACCTGGGAGATGGGTGGTGAACCACTGCCACCGTGAAGGACAGGCGCCACTGAACATTACCCTCTTGGCTTCTTCCGGCTTTCCCTTCACACTTTTTCTTTCATTGCTAAGCTGACTTTGTAACCAAGTGCTGCAGCTGAGATCTGAACAAAAGGAAAACCAAGCTTTGGCTCTTTTCCACCCAGTATGAGTGGGTAGCAGACACACTAAGTATCCCTTATATCTTCTAGGAGTGCTCCACCAAAGAAGGTCTAACACTTCTCTACTGACGGAGTTCTTTGACCTCCATCTTTTTCAGGGTGGCCCTCAAAGGCAGGGGGTCCCTATAATGAACACAGAGGTAGCTTCTATTCTGTTTGAGCTTCACGGATGTACCCACGTCCTGTTAGCGTTGTATCTTCAAGTCAATGCTTGACCCCTCAGCAGAGGCCAGACACCTTCCTCAGGAGAGCTTTTCAGATGTAGTTATTCTCCTTAAAACAAGTTTCAAAGAATAACTAGTCCACATAGTGGAAGGTGCTGGGCGTACAACAGTGCTTAACAAGAGCCCTTCTTCCTGTCTCTTGGGAAACGTCATGAGCTTGGCAGTTTCTCTGTGTCTTTCCCTAAAGGGAACAAAGCCTACATTATAACATCTGGTGTGGGAACTCTTTTCCCAGATTGACAATGATCTCAGCATTTACCTCTACAGCAGGAGAAATGCCTGCTGCTTTTTTTAATAAAGAGAGGAAACTCTTACAAACTCATAAGGCCCTTTGGTTTGTCGGCACCCGGGCACAGGGACTACGTGTTGGTACCATCTGTTTGGGACAGAAGAAGGAATACTGTCAGCTCACCAGCAGGGCCCTGTGTCTTTCCCAAAAGAGCTGATATTCTCCCCAGAGCTGATGGATGGAGACGCTCCAGTGTGCACAGAGCAGTGTCACCCAGAAAGAGGAGGGTTTTGCCTCGTTACTAGAAAGAGGAAGCACCCTCTCCCTCATGGGGAGAAAGAGAGGTGTCTCTTCTGGTCATTGCTGTTGGATGCTGCTCAGTTGATTTTGACAGTAGAATTGCCCCATCCAGTTGTCTTGGCAGATCTTCAGGAGAGCAGGTCACCAGGCCTTTCTTCCACAAAGCTGGTGGGTGGGTTTGAATTTCCAACTTCTGCTTAGCCCCAGGTGCTCAACCTCTGCCCCACCACCAATAATGGCATACAGAACACACTCTAGGCACTGTGGGCCTGCCACGAAGGGGAGCTTACAACCCAAGGACCAGAAAGCATGAAGATAGCACTTCAGTGCCAGGACCACCCGTACCGAGCCCAGGTCAGCCAGCCTGGAGCTTACAGTGAGTGCCAGAGGGAAGTTTGTGTGGGGAACTCTCAGGCAAGTGATATCACCTGCTGTCACTGAGTTGATGCAGATTCCTGGCCACCCCGTGTGTCAGAGCAGAACTGCGCTCCGTGAAGTCTTCAGTGGCTGGTTTCTCGGAAGTAGATGGCTAGGCCTTTACGCCGAGAGGCCTCTCGGTGGACTCAAACCCCCAGCCTTTGGGTTAGCAGCTGAGCACATTAACTGCACCACCCAGGGACTCGCAGGTGGATGCAATTTTAGAAACACTGAGGTTTAAAGCACGCACTTCAGGCAGTTAGGAATCCACTCCATGACCCGTGACCCTTCTGAGCTGAGTCTTCCCTTCAGTAGAACTAAGTGAATGGAGGAGCACTTAATCCTGTCAGGGCTGCTGAGAAGACGGACTTAGAAAATTGGTGCAAAGGGATTCGCACAGTGCCCAGCACACTGCACACACTAAGCTGTGAGTCAGAAGCAAATCAACAGCAACCTACAACAGCAAAGAATCGAATAATTTAAAAAGCTTGTTAGTGACAGCTGCCCTTGCCGCCAATTTAACCGCTGCCAACTGAATGCTATTAAACTGAACTCATTCCTCCACCCTGGCTTTATAAAAAATCATTATTGTTAAGGATAGTATTTCATTTTAATAGCCATGCATGTTCAATGTCAATAATAATAATAAAGTCAAACACACAAGAATATAAAGAACATGTAAAAGCCTCTCTCTCAGCACCTCCCTGGTCTGGCTTCAAATCCTGGCTCTCTCCTTTACTAGCTCTGTGATCTTAATGCCAGTGATTTGACCTCTCAGAGCTGCAGAGTGGAGACAATATAATCTTGACCCCATGAAGCTGGGGGACTGATGGGTAGTGTAACAGTGCAGGTGCAAAGGCTGGTGCTGGCCCCGGATGTACATGCAGTAATGGCAGCAGGTGCCATGGCTGGCCTCACCTCGACCATTGTGAACTTCCATGCAGAGTGCAAAGGACAACCTGGGTTGGATGGCAGGAGGGGCGAGCCTGGCATTCCTGGGACACCTGGGCCTTCAGGACGCAAGGGTGACATGGGAGAAGCTGGCTGCTCTGGACCACCAGGTAAGGATGTTCAGTTCCCCCTCTTTTCTGACTCCATTGACCTTAGGACCACATACAAGATTCTGGACCTCTCCAGCAGCTGTCCTCCTGGACCCTATTAAAATCATTGGCCTTAGAGCCCAACTCCCCTCATGTTAGGGAGACAGATGCATGCAGGATAGGACAGGATGCATCCCCACGTTCTCACAAATGCCAAACTCATTGCTGTCAAGTCAGTTCTGCTCAGTAAGCCTGTAGGACAGAGTCGAACGTCCTCATAGAGTTTTCAAGGCTGAAGTCTTGATGGAAGCAGACTTGTACATATTTCTCCCATAGAGTGACTGGTGGGTTCAAACTGCTGATGTTGCCTTTCACAGCCATGTGCTTAACCACTGCTCTACCAGGGCTCCTCAATGGATGCTTTGCCATCATAAAAATGAGTCAGTTCCTTGTAGCCAGTTGAGTGCTTTCCCACACCACCCTGTATTAGAGTGAAAGGCCTAGCTGCTTCAGCTGGTCATTTCTACAGCGTAATGAAGGATCTGCCAGGCTAGCATCTGTATGTCATGTTCTTTGAGAGGTGGTGCTGATGATCTTGGAGGAGGTGCTGTGTTCTCATCACTACAGTGTGCACCACCAGGCTTCTGGTTGTCTGAGTTGGCTTAATCTTTTCATACCACACCCCCAAAAAATGAACAACAACAAAAAAAACCCTTTGCCATCGAGTCTATTTTGACTTATAGCAACCCTACAGGACAGAATAGAATTGCCCCATAGGGTTTTGAAAGCTATAACCTTTATGGGAGCAGATTGCCACATCTTTCTCCTGCAGAGTGGCTGGTTGGCTTGAACTACCAACCTTTCAGTTAATGGCCAAGCACTTAACCACTGTACCACAGGGCTCCTTTTTTATCATACAACCAACTATAAATTTACACAGACTACAGAACCCTTTCTCAAGAAAACAAAAAAGGGAATGTGGGGTTGGATGGGCCTTGAATAGGGAGCCTTTTGGGAATAGAAATTTGAAATATCATGCACCGGGCTGTATGTTCGGCACTGGACACACAAAGTCCTGAAGACACAGTGCCATTTGCAGAGATCTCTGTGGGCAAGGAGTGTACATTTTAATTAGTCAGATGTCATCGAGTTAGTTCTGACTCATAGCGACCCTGCGTACCACAGAACAGAACATTGCCTGGTCCTACATCACCCTAACAGTCATTGATGTGTTTGAGCCCATTGTTGTAGCTACTGTATCAACCCATCTCATTGAAGGTCTTTTTTTGTTGACTCTTTACTTTACCAATCATGATCTTCTTCTCCAGGGACAGGCCCCTCCTGACAACATGTCCAAAGTATGTGAGACAAAGTCTCATCATCCTCCCTTCTAAGGAGCAAACATTCTGGCTGTAACTCTTCCAAGACAGATTTGCTTGTTCTTCTGGCAGTCCCAGCACAGTAGACCATATGATTCTCCAATTCAAAATGGCCAATACCAGTCCATTTTCAGCTCCCTAATGCCTAGGATATTGATCTTTATGCATTCGCAAATTCTACCACGAGGTTACTAGTAAATGGAAGTGAAGAGGGCTGGGTGAGGCCTGTGGCAAAAAAGAGCCTGCACTCTGAGGGCTACAAGGAAGCACATGCAACTCAGCTTCAGCCGATCGTTGTAGGAATATAGGCCCAATGTTACCTACACTCTGCCATTGGGACTCAGTGTGTGAAATCAGGACAGGTTGAACAAAGCAAATGAGCAGGCCCCGTTCCATTCACAAGCTACAACTTTGTAACCTCTAATTCATGGTACAGATGGAAGCAGAGAGCCTGCCTGTCTTCCAGAAACAAGTTCACAAAAACCCTGTGATTTCAAAGTTTCACTTCACCTTTTGTCCTTAGCATTTAGAAGTGGCCTTTGGCCTCCAATTGGTCAGCCCCTTAAAGGTGCCAAAGAAGACAGCTTTGCTTGCGTTCTGTAGAACGGTTCATTTCCCATCTGCCAACTGCAATTCTAGAACTAGACCTTCCTCCTATCTCCCTTCCCTAAAAAAAGAAGAGGTCCAAAGTGGTGCCCAAGCCATTGCCCTAGAATGGACCCAACAGTGTGTCGGGTGCACAGGTCTGGGAGGTGTAATCAAGACTGACTAAGAATCACCTTCTCAGATGGACAGGCTCCTGTCCAGTCTCAGGAGTTCAGGAGGTCACACGTGGGATGGGTTATCATTCGTTCTAGGTATTTTCTTCTCACCACTTATCACTTCCTGTTTCACATTTACTTTCTTACTATGCTTATTATTTGTGACTTTTCTTCCTCGAGGAGAACGTAAGCTCCGTGAGGGCAGGAATTGTGTTGTTTTCTACTTTTACACTAATGGATCCCAAGCACCCAGAAGTTGCTAAGAACACGTCCTTGCTGAAGGGGCTGGGTTTGTATTCCGGGGTGGTGGGTTGTGTCTTCCTTATCTTTGTTCCCTGAGTGCTGACACAGTGCTGGAACAGAAATGCATGGAAGTGTCTGCTAAACTGAACCCTATAAACTGCCTTCGCCATTTTTTTTTTCTTTACTCCACCAGGTCCTCCTGGTCCCACTGGGGACCCTGGGCCCAGAGGGTTTGGACCTGGGTACCTCAGCGGCTTCCTCCTGGTTCTTCACAGTCAGACGGATCAAGAACCCACCTGCCCAGTGGGCATGCCCAAGCTCTGGACAGGGTATAGTTTGTTATTCCTGGAAGGACAAGAGAAAGCTCACAACCAGGATCTTGGTACGTGTACACCACACAATCACCCAAATCTATTACATTAAAACTTTTGGGTTAATTTTACAGATTCATCAGCATCTTTAATGATAACTAATCTTATATGGGATTTAAAAAAAAAAAACAACTACCATGCTAAAATGATTCAATAGTCTCACTGATTCTTTTAAACCTATGGCCTTGTGATTTGATTATTAGTATTTTTTTTTAATGATTCTTCCTTAGGAAGTTAGATGTAACTCTGATATAGACTGGAATTTTTTGCTTCCATATGTAAAGTATTTACTAATGGTGTGGTCATGGTTAAATGGCATGCTGACAGCACACAGATGCTTTTGTGTGGCACTGGCCAGTGTCAACTCCCTGTCCCACTCCACGTTTGCTTTCAAAGGATAGAACTTCTCTTGAGGATCAGTTCTCCTTGTCAGTTCTAAGTAGTAGATTTGTGACCTACATGGACTGATCTCAAGCCAAGGGTTTCAGTGCCTGTGTGCTGGCTGATGATGTCTTTCCGTGACAATGGTTTAAGGGTGATTGGGGTGATGGACATAGGAAGGACAGACCGATGTGATGGTTGAGAGATGAAGTGAGTCTTGTCACTGCTCTCATTGAGCCATGACCCCAGCTGGGAGTAAGGTGGCCAAAGAGAGCAGGTTGAGTGGTGGCAGCTACTTACGTGTCCATCACGATGTCTCCCTTGGGTTCAGCTGTGGTCTTTCTCCCCATAGTGGCCTTGTTTCTTTGGGGTAAAGAAAGCAGCAGCATTTCCTGAGTCTGCCTCTTTCTCTCCTCTTTCCCACTGCCATTGCTTCCTTCCTGCCTGGTGTCTGTACCACCAGGCTGGCTTCTCCTGCCCTGGTCTAGCCAGAGGGCACATCCTAAAGCTGAGCAAGGCTCTTGGGATAAAATCCCAACTCCTGAACACGATCGCCAAAGCCTGCATTCTCTGGCCTGATTATCTCTGGATGGATTCCCCTAGACAGACAGACAGACACATGCTCATCTCCCAACTGAACTTCCTGAGTCTTTGAGTCCTTGCTCCCTGATCTCTGGCCTCTCTACTGCTGCCTCTTCTGTGTTAAGAGTCACTACCATCATCTCCAAACCTGGCCAAGCCCTACTCACGTTTCAGATCCTGCTTCAAATCACTTCTTCCAGTTAAAAGGAGAGACAAAACAGTTGCCATGGAATAGATTCCAACTCACGGCAACCCCATGTGTGTCAGAGTAGTACTGTGCCATGAGCTTCTTGAGGACAGAAGATGTCTTCACTGCACTAGCTCTAGTACCTGGTACATTGTTTGGCTCATGAGCAAATGAAGAGTGGATGGGGGTGAGCGTTGGCCCACAGCAGCAGGGAGGTGACAGAAATGCTCAGGTGCATACCCTCGTTTCACTACCCACAGAAGTAGGCTTTGGCAAGGGCCTCAATGAGCCAGATTGTGTATCTGAGAACTCATGTATAGAGAGGTCACCACACGTTCCAGGACAGGCTGCTCACCCACCATGTTGGCTCTTTTTCCCTCCCAAGGTCTGGCAGGGTCTTGTCTTCCCATGTTCAGCACACTGCCCTTTGCCTACTGCAACATTCACCAAGTGTGCCACTATGCCCAGAGAAATGACAAATCCTACTGGCTGGCCAGTGCTGCCCCTCTGCCCATGATGCCGCTCTCAGAAGAGGAGGTGCGCCCGTACATCAGCCGCTGCGCCGTGTGCGAGGCCCCAGCCCAGGCGGTGGCGGTGCATAGCCAGGACCAGTCCATACCTCCATGTCCACGGTCCTGGAGGAGCCTCTGGATTGGGTATTCATTCTTGATGGTGAGTTCCCTACACTGAATCGTGGTAAACCCACCATTTCGCCATACCCTTCTCCAGCCCTTTCCATCTGGATTGGACCATACTTTTGTGAACTCTTTGCAAACGAGTAGCAGTAGGATATAAGGTGTGAAGGCTACCACAAACCACAGCCTGTTGAGATGCAAGGTTATTTTTTTCTTTTATCATCCATTTTTTTATTATTATTATTTGATAGAAATTAGAAGTAGTTGGATTTGCTTCAGCCATCAGCGAAAGTGGTTCCATTTTGTGTACATACTCAATTTCTATTTCTTCTTTTCTCAGGAGACAGTATTTTGTTCTTTATTTAATCATTTAAGAAAAATGTTAGGCCCAGCCCCTGGCATGTCATTGATCGGGTGTGGGGTTGTCTGTGTGTGTCTGAGCCCTAATTCTCTCTGTTGTCTGGGTAGCACACAGGAGCTGGGTCCCAAGGTGGAGGGCAGGCCCTCATGTCACCGGGCAGCTGTCTGGAAGACTTCAGAGCAGCACCGTTCCTTGAATGCCAAGGCCGACAGGGAACATGCCATGTTTTTGCAAACGAGTATAGCTTCTGGCTGACCACAGTGAAACCAGACTTGCAGTTCTCCTCCCCACCATCACCAGACACCTTGAAAGACAGCCAGGCCCAGCGCCAGAAAGTCAGCAGATGCCAGGTCTGTGTGAAGTACAGTTAGAAAACCCACAACTCGCCGACAGCTCACAACTCGCCGACAAGTCCCCAAGAGAGACTTCCTACAGAAAGGAGTATCAGTGCGAAGAGATTTAATGGTGCTCGTTTTAGACTCCAGCTTCAGCTGCTGTTCTCACAGTCCTGCAATTCCTTTATCTGTTCCGTACAGAGTAAGCAGATGCTACCCAGATGGCTTTGTGTGGACCCACTAATCTAGACGGAACCCAGTTACTCTTATTCTAGTGAGGATGATGGAGGAGCTGGCAGTATTTCAAACACCTGCTCATTCACAGGAGGGCTCACAGATGACAAAGGCCAGGTCATAAATTATGTTCCTGGGCACTTCATTCATTGGTTAATAACAGACAATTGAAGTCACTTCCTCTTCCCTACAGAGTGTTGCTTCTGGATGGATTTGTATGGGAAAAATAAATAGGCTGACATGGAAGTAGGAAGTAGGGATTTTCAACATTTCAAAATGATTTCCTCTCTAATTTATTTTCCCACACACTTTCAGTCATTCTAAAACCATGACCCAAAGAAATTTTTTTTTAAAAAAAAACGTTGCTGTTCTTAACAGTTCATTTCAAAGCAGGATGAATTATCATGCCAGAATCCTTTCCCGCGGTCGCTGTGTCCTGGAGATGTGACATTAGCATACATACATCACAGACGAACAGAAAACATGTACTCTTCTGCATTTTTCAGACAAGAGAAATGCCTACTTTGGCAACCCTTTTGAAAAGTAGCAATTATAGGAGGAAAAAAATCCACTGAGAGATTAAAAGCCTGAAAGCGATTAATGAATATTAAGGCAGTCATTCACAAAAATCGACTCTGCACTTCCGAGATCTTCCAAACAGTCTGCTTTTCCTCAGTCGGGGTCCAGCGTCTGCTCAGTGTGTGCCTGCTAATGAGACAGAAGCCACGTGGGGCTTCTCCAGCGGCACGAGCTCCCAGCGCTTGTCCCAGCCCAGGACAGCCCGCGGAGCCGCTTCCAGATCAAAGTGGACGCTTTCCCTGCAGACATAAAATGCACCTCAGGAGGGAAAGTGACTATCACTATGCACTTGGGAGAAAATTGAGGGCCGACATAATGAAATGTAGGTAAGAAAATTCATTTAAGTCAGCGTCACTCCAATCAGAAAGATGTAGCACTGTCTTTCTGAACAAAGACACTCTACAATTTGAATTTATGTTCCTGGTACTGGTTTTGGGAGCCCTGGTTGCAGTGGTTAAAACGCTCAGCTATTAACGGAAAGGCTGCTAGTTGCACCCCACCAGCCAGTCCTTGGGAGAAGGATGTGCACTCGCTTCTGTAAAGATGCCAGCCCTGAAAGCCTGTGGGGCTTTCCTGCTCTGTCCTCTGGGACTGCTGTGTCAGAATTGACTTAATGGCAGTGGATTTGGTTTTGGTCTTTGGTTACTGGTTTTTATAGGCGCATCCTGTTTCCAGTTTTAAAACATTCTTATATTTTATATCTGTATCGTGTGTACCAAGGCCAGAAGCTGGGCATTTAACATTGATATTTTCTATTTTCTACAAATGTTTTGATGCTGTGTCAACTGATACGTTTCTGAGTAGCAAAACCAAAACCAAAAAGCAAACTCACAGCTGTCAAGTCAGATCCGACTCATAGCAACCCCTCCTTGGGTTTCTGAGGCAGTATCACTACAGAAGTAGACTGTCCTATCTTCCTTCCAAGGAGTGGCTGGTGGGTTTGAACCACCAGCCTTCTGGTTAGCAGTCAAATGGCTTAGGCACTATGCCACCAGAGTACCCTTTTTTATTTGGTGAGGAACTGAGTGCTCTAGTCCTAAAAATCAAAAGGTTTGTTTGAAAAGATTTTTAGGAAACCCATCTCCCACCTTTGTCATTAAAAAAAAAAAAAAAAAAAAAAAAAAAAAACAGGCTAAAATACCAGCAGGAAATAGAAGATTTAGACATTATATAAAAACTGAAGAATGACATTCCTTATAGGAAAGTGACACTCATTTTCACTGTTCAGTTTCAATTCATTTAAAAGTAATTGAAAGAAGAAAAATTCAATTAAAAAGTTGTTTGTTTATTGTTTGCCTTGCGGACACTGATTAGGAATGAGCTCTCATATGTAAAAAACTTTTCAAATGAGTTTTGCTGCTGGCTGCCCTCAGGATGGCAATCTATTTTAGAGTATTTTCTGGTCAAAAGAAAAAAAAAATGTACATTTAAAAATGAGGTATTTTCTTGATGTAGCAGAATTGTTTTTTAGTTAATTTGTCCCATCTGGTAGCATAGTGCCTAAGGCATTTGACTGCTAACCCGAAGCCTGGAGGTTCAAATCCACCAGCCACTCTTCAGAAGGAAGGTTAGGAAAGCTACTTCCGTAGTGATATCGCCTCGGAATCCCAAGGAGGGGTTGCTGTGTGTTGGATCTGACTCAACGCAGTGCGTGCAATTCCATTTTTATCTGTGCTGTGGCATGTGAAATTTTGGGGGAATTTAAGCCAAATTCAGCCTTAGTTGTAATTAGACTTTTCTCGGTTTCCAAAAGGTTTCTCTGTTACTAAGAGTCAAGGATCCTAAAAGTCCTTCTTGTTCTTTCATGATCTTGATCTGAGAACATTTTCTGGGAAGAGGTGGGGGTGATAAGTGATATTTCGAAACATATTTTTCTTGCTAATTCAAACACTTTACCATTGGTTGGTATTAAAATATTATCTTAATAGGCCTTTCAGACAAATGCAAAAAGACGCCGGTTTAAGTGGCCCATTTACCCCGTGGTGAGTCTGGGACAGTGTATGACACCAAGTTTCAGAAGAATTCAACATATCTGCGTGTGGCAGCCCATTTGCACAGCCACAATCTCCTACTGCAATCATTGCCAGCAAGCCAACGGGTAAGCTGTAACCATCATCCACAAAACGGACTCTTTCTTTTCCATGAACTGAGATTCCAAAAGTGATGAGGTTTGAGGGAGGGGACTGGTGGAGAGAAGACTTCACTGAGATGTGACCTGGCTGAAATCATGAGGGGGAACCGAGTACAGCTTGCGTTCAGGGCTTTTGAGCGAAAAGTTGCCGTCATGAAGTCTGTACACATGTTAACCAGTTATCTGGGCTTAGGCAAACAGTCAACAGAATGGTCTACTGAAACTGGATTTCATCAAAGATTGTATTGAGACTTTGAGAGATTTGTTGTTAGGTGCTGCCGCGTCAGCCTCGACTCATAGCGACCCTGTGTACGGCAGAAGGAAACACTGCCCGGTCCTGCCTCACAGTCCCTGCTACACCTGAGCCCACTGTTGCAGCCACTGTGTCAGTCCATCTTGTTGAGGGCCTTCCCCTTTTTCACTGACCCTCCACTTTACCGAGCGTGATATCCTTCTCTAGGGAATGGTCCCTTCTGACCACATAACCAGAGTAGGTGAGGTGCAGTCTGGCCAACAGAGCAAATCATTCTGTGTGTTCTAGGAAATTATAAAAGACTTGTGTTTCGATCAGCTCACCAGACTAATTTTGATTAGTCTCTTTGACCACTACTTTTACTTGCTGTAGCTGTAAGAATGTGGCAAGTTGGAGCCTTAGTGGTGGCACAGTGGTTAAATGCTCAACTGCTAACCAGAAGGTTGGCAGGTTAACCCCACCAGCCACTCTGTGGGCACAAAGACCTGGTGATCTAATCCCATAAAGATTAGAAAAAAAGGAAGAAAGAACGCACCATCAAGTGGATTCTGACTCATGTTGTTATGTGCCATGAAGTCATATCTGACTCTTAGCAACCCCTCCTTGGGTTTCTGAAGCGGTATCACTACAGAAATAGATCACCCAACTTTCCTTCCAAGGAGTGGCTGGTGGGTTTGAATCGCCACCCTTCTGGTTAGCAGTCAGGTACCTTAGGGGTTTCTGAGGCAGTAAATCTTTATGGAAGTAGATTGCCCAATCTTCCTTCCACCGAGTGGCTGGTGGGTTTGAACCGCCAACCTTTGGGTTAGCAGTAAAATGCCTCAGGCACTATGCCACCAGAGCTCAGTGGGGCAGGTTTGCACTGTCACATGAGGTGGCACTGCCTCAACAGCACACAGCATCAAGGCAGGTTTCAGTCCTGTCATTTCCCAGGTGTGTTCTTTGGGCGATGACTCCTTGAGCCTCATTTTCCTCATTTGTAAGATGGGACCCAGCACCTACTCTTGGTTGAAAATTAAGTTAGATTATGTGCCTAGCACACACCAGTCATCAAACACATTTATTACGGTCACAGCCTGTATTTAAAATAAACTATGTTACATGAAAAGCATTACTTGGTTTTTCTACACAGTGGAAATAAGATTCTCACAGGACATATAAACTACTGATTAAAATTATTTTTATATACCTGACCAATTCTTAATGCCTTTGGGAATGCTGTTTTATTTCAATTCTCAAAGTTCCTGTACCACACACACAAAAGTCACAGTTTCCTACAGGGACATTATCAGGACATTCTGCAGGGAACAAAATAACCCACATTAAAAATCAGTGCCCTCATACAGTACTGCATTGTCAGTCAAGGCAAACATGGGTATATGGGTGGATAGATGGGTGGACAGGCTGAACTATTAGGTATGTCTATGAAATGGGGAGTGTATCCAAGAACATGTATAGGGTTGGCAGAAAATGGTCCTGTAAGTTTATGTGAATGATCAGAATTCCAAGGTGTATAGTAGAGCTGACAAGGGGCAAGGTTGTGGTCACTGCTTGGTCACAGCCAGCTACCCAGAGGGAGCAAGTAGTTGAACCTGTGGGCTTGGGACCATAGTCGCAGGGGACATCGAGCTCAATTGGCATAACATACTATACAAAACACTGTTCCACCTCCTACTTTGGTGAGTAGTGACTGGGATCTTAAAAGCTAGCAAGCTGCCATGTAGATGCAACGATGGGTCTCTCCTTGTCTAGAGCAAAGAAGAATGAAGAAAACCAAAATTCATGGAAACAATTAGTCCTAGCGACTAGCACACCATCTGATCTGCAGCCTATACAACC